CGCACATGCGTAAATGTTTTATGCGCATTTGCACACGCATATTCGCAGCCGTAAAGGTCTTACACGCGCACGTAAAGGCCTATGCGCATGCGCAGAAAGTTTGTAGCTTTGAGGTCTGGATTATAGATCATTCCGGATTATGGGTGTCCGAATTAACGACTTTTGACTGTATTATTAGAAATGCAGAATGTATAAATAAATAATTATGCCTATATTATTACAATTCAGAATGTAATTAGAAATGCTGACACATGAAATGATTACTAGAACACAAAAAAGATAAGGAGGGATTATCATTAAGGATTTCTTTCTTCTTTTTTTGAAAACATAAAAATCTAAAACGACTGATTCAGGTCTTTTAAAATTACAAAATATAATCAAAATTATTTTAAAATTATTTTAAATACATTTTATGCTGGATTAGGTTTATAGCAATTCTAAATTACTCAATCATGCAAATAAAAATTAAGAATCTTTAGGAATATATAAAAAGCAATCACATTAAAAAAAAGGTCTTATAAAATACGTGAGAAATTAAAACTAGAAACTATTCATATAACTAAAAAATATAGATTCTTATTTTATGGAAGCACTGCATAGATTTCTTGTTATCATAATGCTTGCACGTTGCTCTCCCAAAAAAGAAAAACACATACCCGACCCCCCCAAAAAAATAATAACCACATGCCAAGCAAATATACAACTGTGCCAATACAAATGACCAGTAGTAGTAGAAAAACTTGGAATCTTTAAACTTATACCAAAAGCTTAAAAACTGTATTAAACTGAGATTTCTTTTGAAACAAGATATGTTCTGACAGACACAGAAATTCTACATGGCACATAAAAATAAGTTGAGTTGCATAGCAGATTTGCATAGATGTTTTCAGCACTATACATTTAATACGCTAGCATGAGTCACAAAAACATACATTTTCTTAAAAAGATCACAGCTAAGCATTGCAAAAATTTCTTTATCAGCTGAGAGTTTTTAGACTCATTAAGTCTCTTATATCATATACAAGAACTCAAACACTTCCTAATTAATCTAAATGAAAGCAAAACTCTGAGTATTAATCACAAGGGAAAAAAGTATAAAATAAACAACAAGCATTATATATTTCTATAAATGAATCAACACAATTTAAGATAGCTGCTCACAGACATGTTTTTAATATAATAATAATAAAACAATTAAGGGATGAGAAATTCCAACTGGAACAAAAAGGGGAAAAAATCTAAGAGCCACTAAATCAATTAAAACACTGCAGAGTGATATCCACATCAAATTAGAATTTCAGAGATTCAAAAGATTAAAAAATCTTGAAGCAGGATAAGTTTTAGTAAATAGCACACTGCAAAAGTTCTTTGAAATAAAATATAACTGAAATATTATGGAAAGTCAGTTAACAGATAACACACTAGTGTGGAATAACAAGAAATCACTAAGGGTAATTTTAAATGGTGTCACTAAAACCACAACAGTCAAAATCATATGAAGTTAATTAGCAAAGCCACTGACTACTGAGGACGTACCAGAACAATATGAAAATGACTTATGCTTAGGGAATGCACATCAGAAGTGCAGTGTACTACTAGCTCATTTCTAAATGCAAAGAGAAAATACAACTGCTGCATCATACCACATCTTTTGGCTGTAATTCACTGGAATCTCACGTGAACCAACTCGCAGCATACTGTTCCATCAGGACAATGCCAAGTCTCAAGTGGTGTGGGCAACCCAACAGGGTTTTACAGATTTGACACACAACTTTCAACAGCCTCTGGCATAGCCCAATATGATTTTCAATTGCTTAACTGTGTTAGCATTAATGGTACACATTTCATTAATGCTAAGACAGTTATTGAATGCCAACATTAAATAATGCAGCACTGATGGGTTAGGTACCTGAGCGTAACTCAGGTTTATATGAAAAAAATAAACCTGATTGCTATGTATAAGTATTTCATACTATTTTAGTTCTGCAGCCAATAGTAACCAATTTACTGACTACCCTATGTATAATTGTGATTAAATTCTTTGCATTTAGCTTGAATTAATAAGGAACCATTGATACAAAAACATAATTTTAACACATTGCCGACCGCTAATGCTTAAACAGAAAATGAGAATTCTTGTCTCTGACTGCCAAAGTGTTAAGATGAAATATTTGCTTTAATTAACTTAATTGGATTTGTTAGCAATTATTTATTTAAATATTTTCCATTCTTATGGATGTGTTAGAGAATCAAAATACAAACTTCACATTAATAAGCATTTGTTTAACAGCTATTTAATAGTTACAATATAGAAAATATTACTTATAATATAAAATGCGGGCAAAATTTGGTTGCACAGTGTTTTAATCCTACATTTCAGTGAGTCAGTCAATTTACAAATTAGCTTTCACATGTTTTTCATTTTGAAAGCTATAAAATACATGACTATGGCTTTATGCACAAGCACAGACTTGTATGATACACATAAAAAAGAGTTATAATCAGAGATGAAGTGTTTACTTATATAATAAGATTATAAGACATTTTAAAATAAATTTCGTATTTTTTCTGCAATAATGCCAAACAACAGTGGGCATAGGTGTTTTTAGCACAAAGCATTTAGTCAGGTCTAGCTTTGTAATGCAAATTTTAGACTTCAAAACATTTTGAATTTAAACTTATGATCAATTTATGTTAAACTTATAATCCATTATGGGGGGGGGAGAAAAAAAACTATTATTATTACAGATGAGTTTAAAAAAATAATGACTACTCTTGAAACAAGAAAACTATAATAAAATTAAATTGTTTTATGTGTATCCCATAGGTAGCATCAAAATCATGCATTACTTTTACAGTGAGCAGCCACAGAAAGATATAAATGATTATTAAATTTTGCTTATAATAATAACAATCTAACATATAATAAAATAAAAGATCTATTAATGTATATAACAATCATATAAAAGAACATTACGAACCTGTCTTGAGATATGTAATGATCTCAACTGTAACCAAACAGAAATAAAACACCTCAAATATTAGATAAGAACTAATATTACAGGTTGTACCTCTTTTTGAATCTGCTATCATTAGTGTCTGGATTTGCCAATAGAAGTTCTGAATTAAAAATCACTAATAATTCTACTGTTGTTTGTAGCATTCATACTTTGTTTACACTGCAACCCAGGGTTTGAGGTTAACAATCTTTGCAGCTCCTATATTCAGATGTATTATAGTTCTTCAGGATACTAATTAAGAAGCTAAAGGGATTAGAAGGTAATACAAATATTAATAAACATACATGTAAACTATCATGCCTAAAAAGTGGGAACAACCAAAAGGAAAAAAGTGCATATCAATACACTGAAACCATAGAATTCAACTTTCACCTGGGTATAACTTATAAAGGAAAAAAAAAAAAAAAGAGTTTTAAGCTTTTTACTGAAAATGAAAGCTATAAGTTTAGAATAAGAAAATAATTTTTTGAAGAATTTTGCAGTTTGACGATATCCAAGTTCCAGAATACTGGATTTAAGAGGTACAACCTATGCTAAATAAATTAATGCATATTTATATTTCATATTAGATTAATACAGGCATCCCTTGATTAGTGCATAATCAATTTATGTACAATGGTCAATTTAAAAAAAAATTTTAATTCACGACAAATTCACTCATAAAACTAAAAAATTCTTGAAACTTGATGACTAGATATATGCTAAAGTATTTAGAAAATGACTTAGGAACACAAGAAGACTATATCAAACTCACCAATGATGACAATAGCAGTTTTTTTTTTTTTTTTTTTTTTTTTTTAGAAATGCTCTATAAATATTTACAAATTAATTGCCATGCATAATTAATATGAATATAAGGGAATATAAATGGGTTGCATTTTGAAAGAATTACTATATTAGAATTATTATATCACCCGGGATTAATAAAAACATTACACATATCAAATCACTAATAAGAATGACGTTCTCGAGCAGAATTACTTTGTTTCATTTCAAAAATAATGTTTTTACTAAAATTTACCAGATCAAGAACAATTTCAAATTATAATTATTAAGCAGCAACATAAAGTAAAATTATAGTGAATCTTCTGCCCCAAACCACTATTACTTGAGAAAATTAAATATATATATATATATATCAGTATAGCTAATTATAACATTATTCTCTTGACTACATCCTTATCCAACCAAGGCCATCATAAATTTATTAAGGCAACCACCAAAATGACTAATTTTACTATTCAAGTAAAATATATTTTAGGTATTAAGCTATTTAATAGGTAGTTATTAGTTAATAAGACAAGATTCAAAATTAACATATATTCCCATGATACAATTTTCTTATTTTCATAGATTTTACTTGAAGTTGAAAATTTAAAATATAAATTTTAAAACTAGTATATCTCAAAAACTGGGACACTTACATTACACATTTACATAATGGCTACGTTTAACAAAAGAGGACAATATAGAAGATAAAATTTATGCCAATAAAATTATAATGCAGTTATATCTAAGGATGCCTGCATAAGAACTAATATTTCATCATGGGAAAAAAAAATTAAAATATGTTGATGAAGCAAACTTAAAGCAGTTAAAAAATGCTTTTCTTAAATATGCTAAATCAAAAGGTTTCTTAAAACAATTTTTTCTAATGATGATTGTATACAAATGTCAATATGCCAAATAAGCTTTACAACATGATAGGCTTGAAACAGCATTCACTCTTTACCCTTAAAGGGCAATGAAAAACTTCAGTACAAGAGATGAATAGAAAATTTCCAAAAATGGTTACCAATCAGGTTTCAGATTTATGATGAATTTTATTATGTTCTTCAAGACTGCTAGCACTAGTAAAGGTTGCTTGGCATAAACTACAGAAAAATGAGTCTTTTTTGGTATGCTGAATCAGATGGGCCTCAACTTCAGATCTTAGTTCAAAAGATTCAGAGCAAAGGGGGCACTTATTTGAATTCTTACTAAGATGCTGCAAGATATGACGCCTCATGCTCCCTTTTTGTGAATAACACCTTTGACATACTGGGCACTTGTGAGGTCTTTCTCCTGTGTGATGTAACATATGGAGTTGAACACTTCCTTTCTGAGTGAACCCTTTATCGCAAATGGGACATTTGTACGGTCTTTCAATGGAGTGAGTAAGCATATGCTGCCTAAGTACAGCTGGAAGAAATGTTGTATATGGACACAGATTGCACTTGTATGGATGATGAGTACTGTTTAGCTCCTTGTCGCCAATCAATTCTTGTTTTAGACCAGAGTAAATGGCCAAAAGGTCCCAATCGCAAGTGCGATTACGTCGCTCTCCTAGGAAAAAGGCAGTAAAAGAATTAACAAAAAAAATACATATTTTGTAGTTTGATAAAATTCCACTGAATTTCGATCTATAAAATTTATTATTATATTTATTTCATAAATAACAACTTTAGTTCTACTTTATATATATTTTTTAATTTTCAAAGAAAATATGCAAATACAAATTTAAAAATAGAAATAAATAGTCGAGAAAAAGAATTAATATTTAAACACTAATTAGCACATATTAATATAAAATATATAATAACTAAATACATTAAAATTAATTGTATTATAAACTGGGTATATCAAATGAACTATAAATTTTTTTAAAGAAAAAAATAAGTAATAGCACATAAACAATACCTATTTCAGTTATGTTTAAAGTGGTCATATAATTTTAAAATACATTTAAAACTAAACTATAAATCAAATTTAACATGTAAAATAATATTTTTAACTATTGCAACATAAATAAAAATTACTTCTAATTAATATTTTACAAAAAGTATAAAATCTGACACATCATCAATGCACAGCATACTAAAAAGGCACTATAAAATGAAAACACACAAGAACTGTACTATAAAAATTTAATGAATGAAAATTAATATTATACAGAAAAATGAAAGTATTTTAAAATTACTTAAAAAACAGTAAATAAAATCATCATAATGTTCTCCTTTGGTATACTTTTTTTCCAACTTTACAAATATGTACATAAAAAAATATTCAAGTAACTTTATTCTTTCTTTTTTATAAACTTTTTATAAACTTCAGGAAGACCAATTATTATTTCCATCATAAGTTACAATATATAAATAAATATGGATACATATTTAAAAATTATGTGACAGATATATATATTACTTCTTAATATTCATTGTAGTATTTTAACAACATAAGTATAATTCTTTACGGTAAACCTTGAGTTTTACAATCTGCCAAATTCTTAATTTCAATGAAAATGAATTTTTGGACTAAATTAAATTTTTAATTTAATGCTGTTATAAAAAGGCAAAAATGTTCTGCCTAATAGGCTGGGATATAAAAAGTTATTAATTTACAAATTTTGTATATCAAATTCTTTTGAAAAGAAAGTCTTATTTCAAACCCAAGTGTTCCAAGTCCGGCTATGCTTTCACAATCACATTAAACTTAAAAAGTTGAATAGTATGTACACATTACTACAGTTCCTGACTCCTTGCCTCCCTCTTTCTCAAAATAAATAAATAATAAAATAAAACAAAATAAAATCAGTTTTTACGCTGAGTAAAGTAACATATTCAGCTCCCTAAAAGCATCTTCTACTTTTTAAAATGCTTTTAACATGCTGAATGCAATACTACAGAAACTATTTCAAAAATATTTTTAATAAATATTTACTTTCTTAGCAACTTTTTAATATGTTATTATATAATACTAACTATTCTAGTTTTGAGAGCAATCTACATTTTGTATGCCATATAAAAACAAGAAAAAAATATTACCAAAATTATGATGATGTATTTCAAACACAATACATTGCAAACATTTCATAACAAGTTACACTAACATAAGCCTGCTACATGTAAGCACTTCAATTAATAATAATAATAAAAATAAGAATACAGATATATATAATAAAAGTCATCAGTTTCTAAGATGCAAGAAATTTATAACAATCATAAATACCATATAAAATATGAAAGAATGATATATATATACACACATGTGCATATAACATAAAAAACAATAAATTCTTAAAAATTCCACTGAGCAATGAAAATTTAGAAAGAAAAGTGAAATGCTACTGCTGTGAAATCAAAATGTCATTTCAATCAACCAAAAACATCACATTTTGACCAACATAGTAAAATTTTTCTACAGAATTACACAGCACTCATAGAAGATAGATGCATATTCAAGTGCTCCATCAACTGTACCTCATTGTAATACTTAATTTTACATACTGGACAGTCACTTTTACTTTCTGAAAAATGTTTTGTAACATGTCTGAACATATTTCCTTTTTGGGTAAAACCTTGATTACATACAGGACATCTAAATGGGCGTTCTCCAGTATGCACCCGAATATGGGCTCGAAGAGTACTCGATGAACGTGCAGTATATTCACAATGGTGACACTTGTATTTTCGATGCTTATTTCCATCTTTATGTAACACAGCAGAAATCTGCTGACAAGCAGTAGTTGAAATTCGGTAAATCACTATAAAGATGAAATAATTCTTTGAACACATTTTATCACATGAATGAAAGAGCAAAAAGAAAGACTTGAGAAATTATTTGCCTAAATAAATAAGTGGAAAAAACAATAAATAATAATGAATTAAATTATGGTTTATAAAACAAATACCAAATAAAAAATATTATAGCCAAATTTATATTGAAATAATGCAAAGATATTATGCAGGAACACTTAGTAACTTTGAAAAGCAGTCGCACTGTTTATAATCAATTTATCCAAATATAATCTGAAATATATTTAAATGTATGACTGTGCTATTATTATGATTTTAATATGTACAAGTAACTTTGTCTTTAATGCTTGTTAAATAATATATGGCAAAAAAGTACATCTAAAATCCCCATATCAATAAATACACAGTCTAAAAATTCTAAAAAATTCAATTCAATAGACACTAAGAAACATGTTGTTGAGAACAATTATGAATATACTTATTTAAATGCAAATTATCTTTATTATCTAATTCAGCTACACAAATTATTTGGCAATGTTAAATATTTGCCTAGACAGTTCTATATCTTCCAGTCTACTGTGTAGATTGACAAATTTAATTTGCATTTTTCATTTACAGAAGCATGACTATATTTGATTAGTATATAGCATTGTTATAGGTATTGACACAAAATCAGAATTTCTATGAAACAGCCTCACTTTTTAAAAAATTTTTATGTATTTATTTAATTATTTTAGATTTCAATTCTACAGCTTAAATTATGCCAAAGTGCCAAGTTTCATATGAATCGCATGAGTAATTTGAAAAAAAAATTAGCTCCAAAAATTGTAGATCTATGTTAATTGAATATGGTATACACATATTTATTAATATCTCTTTTTTTACTAAACTTAATCGATTCCTTCTTTCACAATTCGAAATGTAGGCTCAAACCAAATAAAATTCACAGATATTTTCTGATTGGTTTTTAAAATTTATATTTTGTAGCAATTTTTATAATTTTTTGAAAAAATATTTGAATTATAGCCTACAAAATTTTTACTATCATCTTAGAGTAGATGTATTTCTAGACATATCTGAAAAAAATTAAAAGAGTTTTTATTCAAAATTTCCCAAGATATATGTAACTTTATATACTGGCACATTTTGAAATTGATTTGAAATTGGGGGGGGGGGTGAGGAAGAAACATAAATACAGTTAGACTAGAAGAGAAACACGCTAATGTGACAATCAAAATCGTAAAAACAACCTTGTATTTAGCGTAAGTATAATGAAACACTCAATCGATTTCGAGGGCAGCTAAAGGTCCCTCCTCATCAGGAGAAAGAAATACGTAGAAAGAAGAAAATAAAGGAGAAGGAGTCTCAGAAACACGTGGTCATTATCAGCACTGCACGTGGTTATAACTGGATTTTTAATCAGAGTTGCACTGGCCGCCTACTTTTACTGAGCCAGGCTATCTGATCAAGCATAAAGGACAAGAAAAATTAGCGAAGTTAAAATAGGCCCCTCGCTCCCTATTTTAACTTCCTAATTTTTCTTGTCCTTTATGCTTGATCAGATAGCCTGGCTCAGTAAAAGTAGGCGGCCAGTGCAACTCTGATTAAAAATCCAGTTATAACCACATGCAGTGCTGATAAGGACCACGTGTTTCTGAGACTCCTTCTCCTTTATTTTCTTCTTTCTAGGTATTTCTTTCTCCTGATGAGGAGGGACGTTTAGCTGCCCTCAAAATCGATTGAGTGTTTCATTATACTTACGCTAAATACAAGGTTGATTTTACGATTTTGATAAATACAGTTGTTGCACAAAATATCTCTACTCACAAAAACAGAATATAAGAGGTGGAAATTAAGTGACACATAGAGTTTAAACATCAAAATAAATACATTCATAAGCTATAACTACAATAAGCATTCAATAAAAATAGAAACGTTTTAGAAAACTTATCTTACTTTATCAGCCAAAATTTGAATGATGCGACACCTCCTCTTGTTCTCCTCCCTTCACTATTCGAAATTCTTACACAAGATTCTTATACTCAAGAATGACATTATAATTCTTTGAATATTATTATCATCATTGATTAAAGAAATCTCGTCGGGAGCCATTACACTGATTCTCGGACTCAACAGATAAACAACTGGAGCAGCGAAGAACTGAAAATGCGCGAATGGAAGATCCCGAGTTGAGGCTACTATTGAAAAAGATGAGTTAGAATGGCAACAGTCTGATGATGAAAAGATATTCGACTTGGATGGAGTTCTCTGCCACAAATGGGAAGCTTACGACAGAAAGAACCTCAAATGGCAGCTCTTACTGAGATATTGAATGTCTACTGTTCTGTCAAGAGCTTCATAACAGCTCTGCTGGAGGTCATTTCGGTATAATGAAGACGTTCCACAAAGTTTGTGCACGTTTCTTCTGTGACAAAGCCAAAGCAGATACACAAAAGTGATGCAAATCATGTGATGCCCGTAGAGCTCAAAGGGGATCACAAACACATACATGAATAAGATTACAGCACTACAGCATGAAAGCACCATTCTAAAGGATTGCTTTGGGCATTCTAGGACCTTTAGCTCATACAATTATGGGTAGCAAATATATCTTGCTTATCATGGACTACTTTAGTAAATGGCCAGAAGCTTATGCCATCCCTAATAAAGATGCTTCAAGTTTTAATGGACTACAGAAGTTTTAATGGAGAACCAAATTTCTCGATGTGGAGTGTCTCCCATTATTCATTCTAACCAGGGATCATATTTTCCATATTTAAAAGATTTTCTAGAATTCTTAGAATGGACTAGACACAAACCACTCCATTATATCCACAGTCAAATGGCATGGGGAAGAGATTCAATTAATCTTAGGCAATCTCTCTCTATTTGCATCCTAGAACCAGCAGGGACTGGCATCAAAAACTGCCATCATATCATTCATGCTAGAGTACAGAAGTGCCATTCACGACAGCACTGGCTTTTCCTCATTGTAAATGATTTTTGGAAAAAATCTTCATCTGCCATGAGACCTTCTCTTCAGACAACTGCCAGACACGCCTTCTTTGCCTCAGCAATACCTGGATGATCTGCACGCATGTTTAGATGACATTCATCAGTTCACCAGGGAAAGGACCAACACAGCCACCGAAAGGATAAGACAAGATATGATCCTAGGTTAGCAGAAAGGGAATTCAGGGAAGAGGATTGAGACTGGCTCTACAACCCAAAGCATCATCATAGCATACAGATATCATGGGAAGGACCCTACTGTGTGATCAAGAAACCAAATGACATAGTGGTGCATGCACACAGAATTCCTTCTTCTAAACCATAGTGCACTACAATAGACTTCCGCAGTACACTACAAAAGACTTATACCTTATTACATTAATGAGAATAAGTTGCCCATAATCTTGGGGATTGCACTGCCTGAGCTGCACAATCCTTATGGAGGGGATGATGCTGTAACTATTTTAATCCTTGTTGATTGTATTTTTTGATCTTCTGTACTGTTATCATATTTTGCATTGTTTTATTCATTTGTTGTTTTTAGATGATAATTTTATGATTTATTTTGTGTTTAATCTAATTTATAGTCACATGTCTGAAGTGTTTATTTGTTGTATAAACTATAGATCTTTTAGTTTTGAGTGCAACTTCTTTGGAACTGTACAAATAGCTCAATTAGAACTTGAGATAAATGCAATTTTGTACTTATGGGGCCTTGGCAACAAAAGCTGGCAATTTCTGGAAGAATTGCGAATACACATTTTTGAAGTTCTAAAACCCCTTTTCTATACACGAGTCAAAGAACTAGGAGATTCAGTTGTAAATCAGATGTGACTTAGCAGTTAGCTGAACTACAAGTGAGGAGTTACCTTAAGAGTGATTCGAGAATGCAGTTTATTTTGTGTGACACGGAAGAATTTCTAAATATCTACATTTTCCTTGAATTCTTTTCAGTAATTATTGTGCTGTGTGTGCTATTTACAAATCTTATTTTTCTAATGAATTGCTCACTTCATCCTGCCCATCTGGACTTACTATTTAAAGAAACATCAACAATTCTGTAGTTTGCAAAAATTCTATCATTTTGGTTAAACAAACCACATGGGGAAACATTAAACTGATTCTCAGGCTAAATAGATAAATAGGGATACATACATATTTTTGGTAATAGATCATATTAACTTAAATAACATCAAAGGTGAATAACATAAAAGGCTAATGAGAAATGAAATAAGAAAAAAAAAAAAAAAAAAAAAAAAAAAAAAAATTCTTGAAAAATGCGACACAACACTAGAAATTCTAAAAATCATCGAACTGCATAAAGATGCTTCATAATATGGTCATAAAATAGAAATAATGCATAATTTAGGTGGCAATCAATGTATTGATTGATTAAGCACGAACCAAATTTATGCCCCATATAAAATGCAGTCAGGATACAAAACCTTCAAAACAGCAATATATTTTACACCAGGCACATTTACCCAATTGAGTCTTGGTTAATATTCTAAATATTAATTAATCAGTAATAAATGTTTTCTTACATAAACATATACAGCTAACTAATAAGCAATCATTATGTACATAAACTTCAAAATGTAGCTTGTAAATATGGTAAAACACTGAAAAACATTTTTGAATGCTAAAAAAACTATGCAGATAGCTTCTGAATGCTCTACCTACCATAATCAGTGAAGCTAACACATCATTAAGAAACTTATATTCAGCAATGAAAATTTTTTCTGATTTTTCTGGATTTTCTTTATTTATGGATAGATAAATATTTTGCATGTGAGCGAGTTCAATTGATTATACAAATTCAGTAGCTAATTTTAACTGGCATTGCTCTTTTTTTTTTTTTTTAAATGTATAAAATGAAAGATACTTTTCCAAATCAATTTGACATTCAGGTTTGAAATATCTTCCCTTATGTGTATGCAATCCACACCATAACATCAAAATTAAAAATGCTCAAAAGGGAGGGGTGCAATAAACCTTCATTTCAAAATAATTTTAATTAAAAAAATAAACCAAAGGATGAAAAATCGAAGAAGAAAATCCAACTAAAATTACCATCTAAATGGAATATAATTCAGTACTCAATAAAAAATTAAAGATAAAATTTGACAAAGTTGTTTTGAAGAATTATGAAGACTCTCAGGTCTACATACTTACAAATAATAATAAAAAAATTTTTATGTAGCATAAAAAAATTAAATCATCACTATAATTTCTCATTTCAATAAAATTACATTTATCATGTACTACAGAAAAGTTGGCAACATAATTGATTAATTTTAATAAACTATTTACTAAAACATCTCCTCAACTGCACAGTAGCAAAAACTTTTGCCTTTTGTACACAGAAGTTAAAATTTTATCAAACTTAATAAATAATGCAGTTCATTGTAAAAACAAACTGCATTATTTATTAAAAACAGAAATTATAAATATATTACTTCTTATAAGAATTCAAATATTAAATAATATTAGTTATAAACTACAATTTGAAAAATGCTTGAAATTACTTTTAATTTACCGAAACTATCACAATCCTAGAAAAGTTCACTGCTGAATTTGAAAACCCTATATCCTTCTATAAAGCTTAATTCTTTCATTTCAGTGTAAGAAAAAACTTTGCTTTTAGTGATATGAAAAAAAAAAAAAAAAAAAAAAAAAAAAACTACTATCACTTTGTTCAATTAATGAAAATTAGAACTAATAATTTCCACCACAGAAATACCATTGAAAAAGACATCAGCTAATATTCTTCAAAAATACTGCATTTAAAAATTGCAATTACATACATATCTGTCTTGCTTACAATGCACACTAAAAATATATAACTTGAATTCAAGTTCAGTTATATTATCATAGCTAATATAGTCTCTGTTCAATGATTAAAAAAATAATGGTGTTACAGGCACTAAACTACATAGATTTTGGCCTGAAGTAGGAGCTTTTGCAGATGATCTGTCTGCAAAAGTTCCTACTTCACTGTAATTTTTATGCATTTTAGTGTCTGTAACAACATTAGTTTATTTATCATTTAACACTGCCATTTAATCTTCTAGATCTTCACTGAAGTTTAAAAATTATATAATATTAACTCTCTGAGCAGCATGAGAATTTAAATCTGTCATGACGACTTGTATTTTAACAGCATTTATTGGTTACATTTGTATAATTACTTACTTTAGTCTCTATTTTCATAGATATACATTCATATAAAATTTATGTTATTAAAGAAAGTAATAAAGCAAAATATCTTAAATTATAAACTAATATTTGCCAAGTAAGGAAAAATCTGGTGACCGGATAAAGCCATTTATGGCACTCAGAGGAGTTAAAGGTAACTGGAATTTTAAAAAAAAATTATATAATTGTTCAAGACAAAACCAAATATAAAAACATTTTCTGCATTACTTATAATATAATACTAGCAGCTGATTTCCATACCTCACGAGCCAATTCAATTTGTGTCTTGGGGTTGTACAGTTATATTACATTTAACAAGTATTTAGGATTACGTCCTAGAATAACAGTGGTTATTTAAATACATGTGCATTAATTTTAAATAACCTTTGAAAAAAACAAAATTGGAAGTTTTATATACATAAATTCAGAAATTCTGTCAATAATAATAAACTTTGATACCATATGCATTGACTCCGGGGGGGGGGGGAATAAAAGAAAACTTCACAGCTCATATGTATTTTGCAGACCATCACTAATTTATATTATCTCAGACACATTTTTAATGCTGCCATTTATATTCATTTACCAGTCACCTTAACATTTCAATTCATTTTAGTTTTTGCACCAATCAGATTTTATCCTAATTTCTCCCGATTTTATCCTAATTTCTTTAACATCAATTAATAAAACAGAAGTTAAATAAAATACATACAGATATTTATTTAATACAAAAACTTAACATGTAATAATGTAATATGTAAATATTTCTAGATTTTTTTAATTAAAACTGCATTTAAAATATGTATACTTTTTATTATTATTTAATGATTTATTTTGAATAGATATAATATTCAGTTTCAACCGCAATTTTTTTGACACAGTAATTATGAATGAAACATCTAAACTTAGTTTTTTTTTTTTTTTTGCTGAATGATTGTTAACTGTGGATACATTAATCATACTTATCTTACAAATGCAACATCAATTACCTAACCCGACAGGAATTAGGATGAATTCAAACAATCAATTTTCCTTTTTAGAAAATGAGTATAGCAAGCAAATATCATTTTTCTTTGATATTACATTACAAGTTTCACTAGAACAAAAACTGTTAAGTAAAATTTAGCAAAATGAGTTAGTGAGGAGAATTACTCTTTACTGCAGGATCATTTTTCTACGAAGAAAAAAAAAATCTCTCGATGCAAAATTTTATTCCAACATAAGTTAATTTTATAATCAGAAAATTAAATCGGTGCTTTTTATAAATGGTCTAAAATGAAATTTCAGTAAAGAACAGCAACAAAATAAACATCTGGAAAGAATTACGATTTTTAAAACGTGCAACTGCACTAATCTATTTTATTCACCAAAATACATAAACACTTTGGAAACATGAGACAGAAGCTTAAGTTTAAATAAATTATATTACCCGAGTTTCTTCACACATTCATTCACACAAATAAATAACAACACTACTAAATTTATATACAATGTCTCATTGCATGTCTTCTCATAGATGATTTTTGGGCAAAACGTCTCCCACAATATGGACAGCTATGAGGTCGCTCTCCAGTATGGGTCAACATATGATCACGTAAGCGTCCTTTCACTGATGTACTATATGAACAATAGGGACAATGTACAAATTGCTTTGTTCCTCTTACTTTCACTGCATCAACAACTAACATGAATTCATTACCTAAAATAATGAAATAATGTTACATTTTTATATCAAAAAACTATAATCCAAAATAATCAAACAACTTCTAAAGTTAATATTATTGTTAGTTATTAACAAATAGTACGCAGCCTTAATCAATAAATAATTTTCAACTTGGAATCAATAAAGACTTTAAATAATGCCATAAACTATACATATAAAACTAAGGATTATACTCTCACCATAAAATAAAATATGTAAATATTGTAAAATCTTAATTATTTCATATTCCCTTCTTTATAAAACAGCAGGAAAACATAATTCACTCTAAAATGATCATCATTATTATTATTTCCTTTATGTCCATCATTAATATTGTATTATATAAAGGATAAAGTAATAAAATAGCATATTATTAAGAGTATAATTAAACAGCAACAAATATTTTAGTAATAATGATAATACATTGTTATTAATAAAATGTACATTTAAATTAATTTATACTATTAACACTAAAAAAAAACTGCGATTAATTGAATAATGTAGTGAGAAATAAATCAGATAAGTTAGTACTTTTTTGGCATAGTAACTTATTGAACTTTATAAGCTACGTAGTATCACTTCCTGTAATATTCACCACAACATATTATTTCTCTATTGCACAATATTTATATAATGATATACTTAAGTTATATCATCATCAAGCCACAAAACTGCAACTACTAAAATACAGCTGCAAAACAAATCCCATTACTTTGCATTCTTATTGCTGACATAAGACACTGTACATGATGAAGTTGTAAGCAGTTATACTACATATATTTGATAGTGTATATGACAATGTAACTATATTTTAAAAAATACCTTTCAGTAACATGGGCATAAAAAAGTAAAATTGCAAACTGATTTCAATATCCATTAATTATGTCAATCTTTCAATACATATAGTTTGTAATACCATATAACTATTCTATTACAATAACTATTCTAATTGGTTATTTTGCATTATCATACTCCTATACACACTCATATATGCAGGACAACTGACACTATATTATACACTTCAAGCTCGTTATAATGATCTGTTCTGTCATCAGGAAAAAGGATGCTAGAAGAATTACACAGATCATGGCAAAGAACGGAAGCTAGCTGCTTAAGAGCTAGCTTCTGTTGTTAAGAGTTCTGCAAAGAACATTTTAAGGGAAACTGGTTGATATTCAAACACACAAGTAAAACTATGAGAAAAACTATATATAGTAGCCTATATTCAGTAGGATTTGAGCCTGGGTCAAACTGTCAGTGGTTTTCATCACTCAATTGCTGATGGCCTGGACGCTATAAGGAATAGTTATGATAAAAATGAATTTAATATTAGGTAGAGACTTTTTGTAGTGGTTGTTGCCAATGGAATAGTACTATAATGAGCATATACAATATATACACATGTATACATATTAGCATTATAACATATACATATAATTTAGTACTTAGATATATATAATCCTGTAAACCATGAGACTGTCATCAAGCACTGATTATAGATATGTATGACTTAACAGCACAGCACACTCGTAACATCTGTGCTTTCTTTTAGCATAAGCCTTGATAGATTCTTGATAAGCCACCTTTTGTTTTCATAAACAAGGATATATATAAATTAACTATTATTGCTGTATTTTTCCTTGCATTTTGAAAGAAATGATTAAAATTTGGCACCTGCCTCTGATAGAACATTAATTTTTTTTTTTTTTTTTTTTTTTTTTTTTTTTTTTTTTTTTTTTTTTTAAGTTATGGGATCATAACATGCAAAAATAAAATTTATTCATGGAAATGATATTATCAGTTGAATATGGCCAACAAAATGTTAACAGACTGGAACAATTTCCTGTGGGAAGTTTGTACTCAAAGTGTTTTAAACGCTGCTTGTGGTAAAATCATAGGACCTAACAAAATAGTATAAATCAACGACAGCCCTTTTTATAAAGCCCAAAAAATGAATCAGGTCAAATGCTGATTGTTTACTAAATAAAGAGACATCAGCTCCTTCAGAATTCCACATGAATTATTGGTGCAATTTCCATGTTTTGATTGTAGTCAGCTTTCATGGTTGCCAGGATAACATGCAAGTACCCATAATTTTATACATAAAATATAAACATGAATTTCATTTGAAAGATAAGGTAATAAATAAATCTAATTTTTTATTAATCTTTTAATGAGTAATTAGCCTTTTATAGCAAGTTTTTGAACAAATATTTTTTTCATTCATTTAATTCCCTAAAAAATCACAGCCATTTATTTTTAACAATGGCTTTCCCATTTACATAAAAAATGCAAAGCTACTCTTTTATTTTTCAATACTGTTTCAGGTTAACAAATAAAAAAAAAAAAAAAAAAAAAAAAAAAAAAAAAAAAAAAAAAAAAAAAAAAAAAAAAAAAAAAAAAGAATTTTAATCCTGTGCTTTTAAAACTAAGAATAATTTATAAACATATGAAAATGTCATATTTAATGTATATTTGAAAAGAAGAATAAATTTCAAATCTTAAAACCTAAAATTCATGAACACCAAGCACTTTATTTTGATTTAAACCGATCATATGAAATACTTAACATATTACATACATTTTTGAGTACATTTCTACAATATAATAAATAACTATGTATTTTCCAACATAAATAAATACAAGCTAATCAGGGAATAAAAGATATAAATTAACTAGAGGACAACTAAATATGAGAATCCTTCATATTTACCTGATGTAAGAAAATATATATGTAGAAGTTAAAATATAACTTTGTATAATTTAAATACGCATATACTACATGAAGGTTTTAAGATAATTACACCAAAAATGTCAAAGAATCAGTTTTATTTTTAAGGAAAAACAAGTACAATTATATATCTTTTAAAAAGCAATTTTAAAATTCATAAAATATAATATATAAGAAGATGTTTTCATAAATAACAATAAATTACTAATTATTTATTAATATTATAAGCTAATAGCAGTTTTTCAAAATACTTCAACTGAGCAGAAATACAAGTATATTCATAAACCGAATATGTAAGAATGCAATAAATTTCAATTTTATACACATTTTTTAAATATAAAATGAATATTATAGCACCAATTTCATGAGAAAGCATACAAAATAATGAAAAGCACCAACAAAACTTACATTTACACAAATTAAAAAATAATAGAAAATTCAGAGTTCAGAACTAGCATACTTTATTTTTGCTGGATTCAATAAAAAACGCAACATAAATTGAAGTCATATCCATACAGATATTAAAATGAATTTTAATCACAAATACTTTATTTTCACAACATATACTTAGACTCGGATAAAAGAACATATTTTACAAATTTTTACATACCTAGAATTTACAGAATGGTTTAATTTCAGAAAGCATCAATGTTAAAATATTCAAGAAGTGACATTTTATTTGCACTCGCATTAATATACCTATATGCATGCGCTTACATATCAACATAATGAAATCTTCAATTTAGGGAAAAAATAAGCTTAAAAATATTTTCTTAATAGGTATCAAACATATACATATTGATTCAATCCTCAGCTAGGAATTAATTTTACTCAAATTTTAACACATATTAACAAATTAGAACATTGTTTCACTTTCTACAAATGGAAAATATACTTTAAACATGTTGGCAACTGACGTCGATTCCCCTAGCGCATGCGCATGATAAGCAAGTTCTCTGCTGCGTAATACTTATACTTAGTAGGCAGTTAGCCAAAGTCAATGGTGAGTAATGCATGTAAGCGAGAAGGGCTAAGCACTGTGTAATATCATGTTTCTACTCTGCTGTTCAACGTCTTCGTAGTTTAAATAAATGTTTGTTATGTACATAGAAGCCGTCATTTTATTCTTCAAAACACATGCAGCACAATTGAATATATCTAGCAAAAAGTGAGCCCAAAATGCTCATTAAAATACATTTTAATTAAAAAATTTTAATTTAAACATAAAAAATAAAATAACATTAAAATTAAAAAAAAAAATTAATAAAAATGTAATTCTATTTGAAATATCTATAATTTATCTCAATGGCTGATTTCAGAATTTTCTTTATGTTCAGTAACTTACTGAAATTACATTAGCCCTTATTTTTTGCCTGTAATAAGTATTATTTTTAAAGACAACAACAAAAAAGAATCTGAAAGTTTTCAGATTTTATATTACGCACAAATGGGCACTTTTTTCATTTACAGGCACAAAAATACTTAAAAACAACATATCTTTAGAATTTTCAATAGACAGTCTCGCATGCTGGAGATAAAAATGTTTTATTCCCTACAGTGTGGCCATCGCTAGCTTTGAAATCATTGAGTTTTTTAATCAAAAAAATTTTTAAAAGGTTTACAAAATATGAAATAGATAGTAAAATAAATTCGAATTTCCAAGTGCTCATAATCGGGTGCTACGTTAATCAAAATTTGATGGCTCTAAATACCATTGTTTTTTCACAGTACAAGAAACAAACATATGTGCATGCAGATTCTTTAATATTTAATTTCTTTAAATATAATACAGGGCAGTAATATTTGGTGGCAACAATTTGAAAAGTGATTGAGGCTTTTATGCAAAATCTGTTTTGAGACTAATAGCCCTCCTTGGCTAGCAAATGGAGAGAATGAGGTAAATTTATGAACCTCACAAGATTGATGATTTTTTCACTATTAATTGAATACACATTCACCAAAAATAAAAATAAAAAAATATTAAATATTTTCCATTTTTGATTAAGCCTTCGGCAATTGCAAGATTAAGCAATTCTTTCTTCCCAAACATGTGTGATATCTGTCAGTCGTAAATTTGTAATGCGAGCTGTGCACATTTGCATGCACTGCAGGGCATAACTCGAATGTGAGTTAATCATGAATTTTTTTGATTGTGAATCAAACCAAAACTAAAAATGTTTTTTGCTCCCCCCTCCTCGCACACAAATGAAAAAAAGCAATTAAAGAGATAATTATGCTTATTAAGTAACATTAGCTGATAAGTTCAGAACAAGAACATTAATGATGAAATTTTAAATCAAAGAGAAGATCATGCTGTTGATCAAAACAACATTTACATAAATACTACTTGGTTTAATAATAACATTACATAAATAATACTTTAGTTTCGCTTAAGGAGAAAAATATGCAAAATTTTGACGAGAAAATCCTTAAATTTTAAAACAAATTACTACAAAGCAAATGCTTGGAAAAATTTTTTAAAAAAAAAATTTTGGATATATTTTTATCCTTTTTATCTTAACTTTCATTTCGAAAAAAAAAAAAAAAAAAAAAAAAAAAAAAAAAAAAAAAAAAAAAAAAAAAAAAAAACAAAAAAAAAAAAAAAAAAAAAAAAAACACTTTAGTTTTATTTAAAAGGCAAAAAGAAATAAACAGAAGGTATCATGAATTTTAATAAAGGACATGCTGTTTAAAACTGAAATCAGGTAAAAAAAATTAATAATGTTTAGGAATTAAGTAAGTTTGCTATATTATTTGTGTATTAACTTCACTGAATATTGCACAGCATATAAAAAAAATGACAAGCACATTATAGAGAAAGGTAAAATCTTGAAATGACAGCCGAATGGAGCGATGAAGTTGATTAGATTTCATTAATTTCATTAGCACATGAAGACCATATGAACGAACAACAATAAATGAACTAGCAACCATTATTGCCACGCACAATCAAGTGAAAGTTTCTTTTTTGGACCCTCGCAATATAAAACAGAAATATGAGCTTTGCAAAAACGATAAAAATTGGAACTCTGTCAGCTTTAAGGATTGGAGTTGAAATCTTTAAAATTAACGACTGTTACTGTAGTCCCAATTCAGTTTTGTTTGATTTACAAAACTGTATTATAATAAACATCTAAATACAATCAGTTTGTCAATTATATTATTCAAATATACATTTATCTTAGAGCCAAGAAAGGTTCTTACTCTAGTACAAATGATGCCGATACCGGCACAATTAACATTGCAAAGATTTCATTGATAAAATTTTGACTATTGCTGATGTTTATACATGGCTTTATTTTATGTACAGATCATTTTCTAGCTGAAAGGGAAAATAAACAATAATCAATTCCAATATTTCATAGTATGGACATGCTAATGATCATTCTAAGGCTAAAATTTTTTAAATTTTATTAAATAAAATTTCAGAAAAATTACTCTTCACTTAAAAAGCTCACAAATTCAGACTTACTGTAAGAACCACACCTTTCACATTTATGTTTGAAAATATTATAATTTCGCAACACAATTTAGCTGATTTCACATTTTTCAATACACTTTCTTTTAGGAGAAAACTCCTTTTATTAGCAGACATAGCCTTTTTGATTGAAACAAACTAAAAAATGTTAGTTTCATTTCTATTGCATCCATTCAAAATTTTATAATTTTGCAATTTATATCACTCTGAAGAATAGGAAATATCCATGGACAATTCTACCTATATTTTCTTCTCTTATTTAGAATTTCCAAGTTTATGCACTTTTACCCATTTGTGATATTAGCAGATTAATCACTATCTCTGAGTGGCAAGCTTTGTTTTTTGAAGAAATTTTTGCAATTTACTAATAGACTAAAATTTATTTTATTACTGTACTTTGTAGGTATTTTCTTTTTCTAATTTAAATGAATATTCCTTCTAGATCATCGCCGAAGTTTGAAATCTCTAAGCTTGTTCTAATAAAAGTGAGAATTTTCATCATGAATAGATACTAGAGCACACTGAAGTTGCTAAATTTAACCTTACATATCCCCCCCTTTTTTTCCCCAGAGAAAGTTCAAAAGCTACATGTCTACTTAATTATATTTTTTAAAAGCATCTCAATTTCATTTTCAGCCACGCTTCAGATTTCTAGAAAAGTTTCTTAGTCTTATAGATAGAATAAATTGTCATATGGAACTCTGAAAGAACAAGCCAGCCTTAAATTAAATACATAGTACAATGTACATCTTGAAGGAAAAAAGTGTCCATAGCATAATGAGAAATAATAGCAAATAGTACTAAATTTTTGGTACTTTTCCGTTTTGCCGGCGCAAGCGATAAAGTCGCCAATAATGGTACAACCGATGCCAAACGGAATATTCTTGCTGGTAACCTTTTACGCCACATTTTCAAAACAAGTTGCAGCTTTTTCTTATCAGATTGTTTCTTTCAATACTGGCATATAATTACATAGAATTTTTATCAGATAGTTCAGTTTTATGTTTAAGGCCATTTTCGCTAATTAAGTCAATTATGCAATCACAGCGCTTACCCGAAGCCGAAAATATAGAAAAGATAAAGTCGAGGGTTAAATTCATCAATTCTAATGAAATGCATTAGCGAAGTAAAGTACTGCACTTTTACATAATTTATGAGTAAGCTATTCGTACGAATTGAAATACTTCTTGCATTTAAACTTGTGTTCCAAATTAAGATTTAACTAAAAATTAATGTAGATAATTACTGAAAGCATTACATTTTTGTAGTTTACGTGAGATGAGAATGCTTGGGGTCACGTGATATGAATCAGGATGTTGAACCATGAAAGCATAGTAAATCCTTAAATTAATGTCTTTTTACAAATTTATTGTCTTTATTTATTGGCTTTTTATAAAATTTTAAGCGATATTAAAATGTTTATGCCTTCAAAAAAAGAATTCTTAGAACTAAAATTTTTTAAATATTTTTTATGTGTATACTGTATGATGCCGCCAATAAAGTCTGCTTGGCGAGATTTGCGCCGGCGAAACGGAAAAGTACCAAATTTTTTAGTAAACAATGAATACATCTACTTGAAGCTGTCAAGTGACAATATTCAATTTACTCATTCTCTTGCAATGTGAGGAGCAACGAGAGAAAGAAGACATTTTTGGACATCTTTTGTTGACTAATGCAATACATTCCAGAGGTGATTGCAATTGCATTTCAAAAATCCTGAAAACTACTACTATGTATGACACATATACATGTGTAACACATACATATACATTAAATGTGATGCAGAAGTAAGCAAGTGCAAACAACTGCAAAATTAGCACCAAAAACATAACCAAATTTTTTTTTTTTTTTAAAAAAAGCTTTAAATCACTTTTTTGAGCAGACTGAGTTTAAAAACCAAATTGCCAATACAAACAATCCAACTCATATATTACTTATATATGTACATTTTATATACACCTCTTTTAGAGTAAATTTAATTCCTTTCATAATGGATAATAATAACCTTTCCTAGAATTCCCAATATTTTCAGCCTCCACAAGAATAAAAATTTATCAGGAAGCTGATTTAAAGTATCATGGGCATTAATCTTCAAAATGTGCTCAAATGTTTAACAATAGGTAGTTTGATGTAATACAGCACAAAAAGATAAAAGACTGAGCTTCCATGAGTTACTAGACAATAAGTCTGACTTCTTGCTTGAACTTGACATGGACTAAAAGTTTTGAATTTATGTATTGGTTGGTTTTGAGAATATAAGAAAATCCAAAGTTTAAGCTATATCCAGACCAAAATCAACCCTGACATTCATTAGCAAACATTGTTTTCTTATGGTGGCAAACAGGCAAAAACAAAAAAGAATGTGGCAATACATACATTGTTGCCATCAAGCTGGGTTCAAGTGGATGGTCCAGTTTTCATAGAAATTCTGAAATTATGATGAAATAAAATAAATTTGAAAAAATATTTTATAAGTAGTATACTTTAAAGGATAATAAATATGACTTCACTTATCCCAAGGTCACTCATAACAAAAAATGCATTTTTAAATTTCTAACCTGAAAGTATTATTCTAAAGTGAATGTGACAATTTCAGCTTTTAAGTATTCTAATTATTCACAGAAAGTCCACAAGTTCTGGATAGGTATATACTATATACAGTCAAAAGTCGTTAATCCGGACTCGTCGGGACTTCGGTGATTCCGGATTATAGATCCTCAGTTTAAACCTGGTAAGATGGCATGCAGAAATTATAAAATTAAACATATGAAACCATAATTTATGAAATAAAGAACGATTATGATCTAAAAGGTATCAAAATTTACAAAAAAAAAGCTTAATATTTATTTGTTTACTTTATTAAACATTTCTTTCAAGGTAAGTTCTTTACGTTGCTTCGTTTTTTATGTGATAATACATTCTCTTTAATTCTATCAACAGACATAATTTCTTGTTCATTTACAAAGTTCCGCTGTTCAAGTCCTATAATTGCCGTGTCCAGAATACTGACTGATTTGTCAATCGAAATTTTTTCGTTTTCAATAAACTCTGTTACTTTCTTTGCTATCGGAAGCGAATTATAATGATGAGGAATTTGATTTAAATCATATCAAAGGCGGAATATATCGAGATGAAATACTACATTTAATAAGGCATTATAAGCCAAATAAAATAAAAACATCTGCCCTGAAGATAAGAATAGTGCTGACAGATCAACTTCCAATTCATTAAGCGCCCTGGCGTTAAAAATAAACAAAGTTTAGATAAACAAACATTAAAGTTTAGATAAACAAAGAATATGCCTTTATCCATTTTTTGCAGCAATTCCACTTTTTGTTTAATGGACTTCGAAACATACTTTTGCTCTGTAGATCCTTTACATATTAGTAAATATATATCAGAAATTCTATTTGACATAATTGAAAGTTCAAGCTTACTTTTATAAAATTGTTCTAACAGTCTGCAAAAAATAATAAGCCGAATCCAATTCGAAGATTAAGGAACAACGCAATCTGCAACATTAACTGAATTAGATAATTTTAGCTTAGCTTATACTGTTCATTATACATTAAACCCACATTTGTAAACGTATTTTGCGCATGCACACACGCATATTCGCAGCCGTAAAGGTCTTACAAACTTTCTGCGCATGCGCAGAAAGTTTGTAGCTTTGAGGTCCGGATTATAGATCATTCTGGATTATGGGTGTCCAAATTAACGGCTTTTGACTGTATATTATACACAATAAATTAAACAAAATAAATAACTGAAGATGTAAAATTCATAATTTTAGTCTTATTTCTAAAATTGGTTTCAACCTGTTGTTTTACTTAGATAATTATAGTTTTTTACTGATGAATTTTTTTCCAAAAGCAGACAAAGCAGTTTATTATTTTTAAAATTAATTTAATGTTTTAAATACATAAAATTATCTAATAAAAATATAATAATTATAAATAAATATAATAATTAAAAATATTTATTTTCTACTCGCTTTTAAAGAAAAACATAAATCTTTCATTTTTCTAAAGATCTTTACTTTTAAATGTCTGCGTGACCAATTTTGAAAAGGTAGCAACACTGAGTGCACAGCTCATTTTGTTTTAGATTCCTGACTCTAAAATCAATGATTCAATATACAATTTGAAATTAAACTCTGTTAATGATTTTACTACATGAATGAGTTAAAAAATATTTCTCCCAGTTTAAAATTTATAGGCATGCATTGGGATATGGCCCTGGAAATGAACTGTTTTTATATCTTTCTTTAATTATCCTTTTTGTTATTTCTGTTTTCTAAATGCAGTAATTTTCTTTTTATGAGCTGACAGCCACAATTTCTAAAATGTGCATAAGCACTAGATTCATACTTGTGCAGATTTTCAGTCTCCTACTGTAGGTGCAAAAATTTTATTTAAAAGAAAATATCAAAACAAATAAAAGTTATAAAATGTATATTGTGAACATGCTTGCATATAAGACAAATATATAAGACAATATAACATGGTATACTTTGATTTTCATCAGTTTAAAATGCCTTTAATGCTTTCAACCCTTAATCTCTTTTCATATACTATATCATTAGAACTTTGCCTAAATTGATTCCATATATTAATAACAGATAACTGTCTTCAATTATTTTTTATTGTTTCCTATAAACAGCAATATTTTAAAATATATTTTATTTTTGTATTGTTTGCTAAACTATTTTCATTTTTCTTGTTCTTTTATCAGCATTCAATTATATTCTTGCTTGGACTTTGCATAAACTATAAGTTTTAAATTTGTGTATTGGTTTTGAGAATGCAAGAAAATCCAAAATTTAGTTTTTTTTCCAGACCACAATAATCCCTGACATTCATGAGCACACACTGTTTTTTATGGTGGCAAAGAGGCAAAAACAAAAAAGATGTGGCAACAGTACCAATCCAAATCGCCCACAAACAAATTAAAATTGACCGCACTTTTTTACAGCCACATGTCCTGTATTGATAATATATACCGCATATATGCGAGTATAAGTCGACACACCCCCTTCGACATAAAAAATTTGTAGAAAATAAGAAACTCGCGTACAAGTCGACCCCCCACTTCCGAAATCGATCGAGAAACTTCGGAAAAAGTTTTTTAAGTACTACATTTATTCAAAATCATTTGAGAAAAAAAAGTAAATATACGATAAAAAGAACCTTGGTAAATAAAGAAAATCAAAATCCTTCAACGTCCGAATCGAAACTTACTCTAGTTAAAGTACTGTTGCGTGCGTACGGGTTCGTTATGAAATGAATGCACAAGTCCGATGAAAAATGAACAAAAATTTATTATTATCACAACAAAAATGCTTAAATTTTCTCAAATTATTATGCAGTATTACAATATCTCACAGTAATTATCTTTTAACTACTCAAATGTCCAATAGAACGTAATTCAAAACAGCTAAAGAACGCTAATCCGCGAATTCGCTACAATCAACAACAGTAGTTTTCTAAACAACAAACTAAGCAACTGCTACTAACTGAGATGTTTTCCTCCTTTTATAAGATTTTAAAATCACGCGCTAGAATTTTCCAGCACTTTCTCGAAATCAAAAAGAGATATTTATTTATTTAATCCACACGCTCTTGTATTTTTAATTTTTCCGGCTTAGCTTTCTTTTAATATTCGTCACGCACTGCACTGCGCGAGAAATAAAACCATTTAATTTATAATTGAACTAACATTAGCTTTTTAAATACCAAATTCGTAACACTGCCCCCTTCCCAAGGACTGCACGTCCCGGGCAGTACAATCCCTGGACAGGAAGCTAAACTTACAACTGTGGCATAAATGCAATTAATAAAGCATTACATTACAATAATAACAAACAACATGAACAATAAATGCAATAAGTAACTTAAACAAATCAAATACAAAATGCAAATCAAATACTAAATACAAATCATAAATACAACATTTAGAAAAACATAAAGGACCATGGTCTGATACTATTTACAATTATATACATTACGTACTATGGCCATAGTAATGAGCTAATCTGTCACTTTAGGTTTAGAGTTCGAAGACTCACGGATCCGAACCACGACGTCATTCGTGTTCAGCACTGTATATGGACCATCCGAAGGTGACTGTAATTTAGGACTCGGTCCTTTTCGTTGAATCGGGTTCCACAACCACACCTTGTCTCCTTTGTTGGATCTATGTCTAGTAGCTCGCGTGTCGTGTCTGGTCTTCACTTTCTCCGTCGCCAAGTTGACTCGCTTTCGTGCAGAACGGTGCATCATTTCAAACCGGATGCCATTTCAAATCGCCGGGCCTCCAAGATGACATTTTGGATATGTTCCTCAGGCGATGAAGGCGCATCCGTAGGGCGACCAAACAGGCGGTCACAAGGTAGACGAAGGTCTCGACCGAAGAGCTTCTGAGATGGAGAATAGCTGGTAGTCTTGCGTTTCTTTTCGACCCTAGCATGAATTCGGCGGCTTCCCGAGCTGGGTCTTTCGGACAAGGCGTCGGCATTTCCAAGTGAGGATCTCTTCTTAGGATGGATAGTCATGTCACCAGATGCTGAAAGCAGTTTGTTGTTTTTGAAGTCTAAGGAAAAATTGTATTTCCTTAAAAAGTCCAATCCGAGTATGCATGGATCTGTGATATCAGCCACATATGCCGTGTGATGGTAGGCGGCACTTCCAAACGTGATGTTCACGTTTAACTTCCCAGTTATGTCGATCTTGTCACCAGACGCAGTCTGAAGGGTAACACAGGATGGCGTCCAAATAAGTTTATCTTTAAGCTGTTCAGCTAAATCTTTCCTAATGATGGTAACATTAGCTCCTGTGTCAATGATCATATTGCAAGGAACTCCATCGATATTTCCATTGATGGACAGTCCGTTATTGTTGCCACTCACTATAGAGATCTTAAGCGCTTTAAAACAGGGTTTCTCATTATCTGGCAACCTCCGTTCCTTGATATGGTCACTAATTTGTTTACTGCGTTGTTGCTGGGAAATGGTCTTATTTCTCGGGATGTTCTGCAATTTCTTCGTATGTGGCCTTCAACTCCGCAGTTCTAGCATTTTAGAATTAGTTTCTTTTCACTTATGTTCCGTCTCAAGCCACTGACTTGTCTGGTAAAATCATCTGCTTTATATTCCGTACCCTGGGGTGTTCTGCAATTCCGTCTTAGGTGACCTTCACTACCACATCTCCAACACCTTAGAGCCACTTTCTTCTCCCTCCTACTCCGTATCAAATCGTCGACTTGTCTGGCTAAATCATCTAAACGAGCCATCAGTTGATCCACTGGCTCATGGACTCGCACAGCTCTAACTGGGTAGCGATCTCTACTAGTTGCTTGCTGAGCTGCCTCGAACTTCATGGCGTACAACAGAGCGCTTTTTATGTCCTTTACATCTGCCATTCGAAGAGCTTTCTGTATTTCAGGATCCCGGATGCCGTCGATGAAATATTGCAGCGACAGGATTTCTCTTGTTTCTGTCGGGCACTCCGAAAAGGCGTGATGTGACAGCCTTTCAACATCCGTGGCGAGCTCCTGAAGTGTTTCGGTAGGCTTCTGTTGACGAGATTTTAATTGGAGCCTGCTGTAGTCTTTTAAACACTTCTCCCCAAAGCGCAACTCCAAGGCGCCGGACAGAGCTTCGAAATCTAACCTTTTGTTTTCGGGAAGAGTCTGAAGGATATCTGCTGCGTCTGCTCTCAGAGAAGCGGCGAGATGACAGGCCTTAGCTTGGGAATCCCATCC